GGATTATAATCACATTGGATATTTGTGTATCTAAATTTAAATATATTAAATTTAAATTATTGATAACAAATATCAATTCATATCTGATTAACTAAATTTAAATATAGATCAAATTTAGATTAAAATTCTATTATTCATTAACATACCGAATTAGGATTTTGATTGAGTGAGCGGCTAAACCTATTTTTCTTTGTCTTGGGACTTAGGGGTGCAATTCAAACGGGTTGGGTAGGTTGAAGGGTCAACTCTAGTTATATAATCTTTAATCTTAACCTTGACCCTAGTTCTACCTCAATCTGAGGTACTCAACTCGAGTACTGTCCAAGTTTAATTTGGACGGGCTCGTGTTGAATTCGAGGTACTTAATTCGAATTAAAAATTGGGTTGGGTTTAGATTACTTAATTCAGGTTAATTTTTGAAAATGTAGATTTGATTTTTTTTCAAGTATAAATATGATTTTTTTCAAATGATCTAAAATGAACGGTGAGACGCAGATAAAGAGAAAGAGAGTGATAGAAAAAGAAATGACAAGTGAGAGAGGAAAACTGAGAGTCTGAGACAACTGGGACAAGTGATGTTTGAGAAAAAAAGGTTGAGAGAGGGAGAAATGACGAGTGAGAGAGAGATCTAAGAGGCGCAGGGGTGAAAACTTAAAGTGAAGTAAAAGTTTAAATTTTAAAGAGTAAAGATAAATATTAAGTCTAATTATATATATATATACTTAGGTCTTAACTTACCTAAGATGGAGTCATCTCCACTTTCCCAACATAAAAAATAAATAATAAAATAAAATGGAGTCATCTTCACACTGCCGACGACAATAAAATATAATATAAGTAGAAAAATATCCTAATAATATTAGTTGAAAATACTATTCATATCCTCCTTGTCGGACTTTTAACACTTCTACGCCAATGAAAATAGTTTGATGCCATAAAGCACCACAAAAAACAAATAGAAGTCTTTGAAACATTGCCATGATTGTTGTTAAATCATTATCAACTATTACACTCATCTCCACATGACCCTAATTCTGCCCGTATTCCAGCAATTAGTAATTGAAACATTTTGGCAGGAAAAAAAATAGTTGCAANTATTAAATTTAAATTATTGATAACAAATATCAATTCATATCTGATTAACTAAATTTAAATATAGATCAAATTTAGATTAAAATTCTATTATTCATTAACATACCGAATTAGGATTTTGATTGAGTGAGCGGCTAAACCTATTTTTCTTTGTCTTGGGACTTAGGGGTGCAATTCAAACGGGTTGGGTAGGTTGAAGGGTCAACTCTAGTTATATAATCTTTAATCTTAACCTTGACCCTAGTTCTACCTCAATCTGAGGTACTCAACTCGAGTACTGTCCAAGTTTAATTTGGACGGGCTCGTGTTGAATTCGAGGTACTTAATTCGAATTAAAAATTGGGTTGGGTTTAGATTACTTAATTCAGGTTAATTTTTGAAAATGTAGATTTGATTTTTTTTCAAGTATAAATATGATTTTTTTCAAATGATCTAAAATGAACGGTGAGACGCAGATAAAGAGAAAGAGAGTGATAGAAAAAGAAATGACAAGTGAGAGAGGAAAACTGAGAGTCTGAGACAACTGGGACAAGTGATGTTTGAGAAAAAAAGGTTGAGAGAGGGAGAAATGACGAGTGAGAGAGAGATCTAAGAGGCGCAGGGGTGAAAACTTAAAGTGAAGTAAAAGTTTAAATTTTAAAGAGTAAAGATAAATATTAAGTCTAATTATATATATATATACTTAGGTCTTAACTTACCTAAGATGGAGTCATCTCCACTTTCCCAACATAAAAAATAAATAATAAAATAAAATGGAGTCATCTTCACACTGCCGACGACAATAAAATATAATATAAGTAGAAAAATATCCTAATAATATTAGTTGAAAATACTATTCATATCCTCCTTGTCGGACTTTTAACACTTCTACGCCAATGAAAATAGTTTGATGCCATAAAGCACCACAAAAAACAAATAGAAGTCTTTGAAACATTGCCATGATTGTTGTTAAATCATTATCAACTATTACACTCATCTCCACATGACCCTAATTCTGCCCGTATTCCAGCAATTAGTAATTGAAACATTTTGGCAGGAAAAAAAATAGTTGCAAATAGTGAATTTTAATAGTGTTTTTTTTTTTTTTTTTGGGGGGGGGGGTTCATTGAATTTTAATAGTTTTAAGAAATAGCTTAAGTGAGCATTCTTTTTAATAAAGAGCATGTGGACACAAGGGTTTGAGACTACCGGTTGACTTAATGGTCATCGTCTCGTGGTTAGTTTTTAAGATTGTGAATTTGAATCTCGCCATCTCCCACCCCTGTAATAGTGTTTGACGCAAAAAAGGACACCACAAAGGTCAATAAAAAAAGACACCACAAAGGTCAATACTTAGTATGATTCCGATTAATAGAGAAGGTTGAGATGGATCGATTGAATAAACACAGATAATTTTTAACATCATTTATACAAAGTGATTGCCATCACATTCGAACTCACAATATCATGATTGCTAGCTCTAACATGTTTACCACATGCATACCAATCTAGTGAGTTCATAAGTCGATATTGAGAATGCTCAAAATCAACTTGATTGTAATCGGTTGAATTTAAGTTTGACTATCCAGTTTAAATTTTTGCCACGTTGGCTTGAAAAATCTTGAGAGCCTTCAGGTTAAAATCGAGCTCAATTTGTTGAAACAAAATTTTATAAATGAAACCATTGAACTTAATTAATAGGCCGAGTTCAAACTGAGGCCAAGCTTACTTGGCAAAAACTTAAAAGTGTTCAAGTCAAAACCGATCTCAATTTTCTAACAAAAAATTCACAAACTAACCATAGAACTTAATAAATTGACCAAGATCAAGTTGAAGTCGAGTTTAGATTCTTGCTCAAGCTTAGCATGAGAGAATTTGCGAGCATTCAAACTGAAATTGATAATCAATGCTAGACTAATCACTTTCTTCACGAAACTCTACCATTGTCTACAATCTTCAAATTTCTTAAAAATCTATCACAGAAGAAATTGAGAAAAAAATTGACTATGGTATGCAACTATCAAGGGATAAGTTTGAAAATATTTATTTTTTGAATAGAGATTATTTGGCTATAACTTAGAATTATTTATTAAAAATATATATTTTAAGTCGATCCATGCATTATTTGAATCCCTCTAAAAGCACATGTATACTGTGCTATGGCATAATCGTAGATTATGCTAGACTACGAAATTATTTTCGTTACCTTTCGTTAAAATAATGATAAACAATTTGATAAAACCAAGTCGTCTTCCAGAATTACTAGTCGTAGATTCCAACAACTCGCTTAAATTCTACTAACTTCCGCTTAAAATGACAATTTCTCCTTCATAACCAAATTCTTGACGAAATTTTGAATCCCCCGTCATTTTTTTTCAAGAGTTGCCAAACCCAATAGTAAAAGTCTGAAATGTCATGATTTGCAATCCTCTAAAAGCTCAAGTACGCTATGCTTTAGTATAACCGTAGATTATGCTTAGACTACGAATTTATCTTCGTTACCTTTTCTTAAGAAAGAGAAATAATTTGAAAGAACCAAGTCGACTGCTAGAATTACTGGTTGCAAATTTCAACAACCCAGTTAAATTCTGCTTTCCTTGCTCTCAGAATAACATTTTCTACATCATAGCCAAATTCTTGAGGAAATTTTGGCTCCCCCAGCATTATTTTTCCAGTGATGCCAAACCCAATAGTTAAAGTCGGCAGGTATTGAAAAGGAGAGTTCGATTCATCCATCCACTAATGACTCATCACCAACTAATAGTCTAAATGCAAATCATGACATTCCAGACCATTTTGTAACAGCAAAAGTGAATGAATGGAAAAGAAACAAAAACCAAAGAGACCCCAAATGGCATTCCATTCCCATATTGTCAGGTCCAGCAACAATGACGGAGATTGTAATCCAAGAATGTTCATGACCCATCTCTATCTATGTCCCTACGCCCTTTATACGTAGAGGACAAATACGATACGGAATCAAGTACTGTACCAAAATTATAATATTTTAAAGTCAAAGTTATAATTTTTGTAATCTCCATGAACATGATTGATTAAGAAATATTGTGATTGATTATGAAAAGTGATTTAGAACTTGTTGAATTTGTTCATGATGGATCACATAAAAATGGTAACTTTTGATGATTCCTCAAGGGGTCTGGAAACCTAGATGTGGTGTGTCTTCTAGCGCCATTTTCATTTGGTTATAATCTGTTCATAGTTAATAGTGGCGTCAATCAGAATTTCTGTGTTAGGGACTAAAAAATTGTCTAGGTAACACACATTCAAACTATGTAAACCAGAAAGAAATTAATGTTACCTATGCTTTATCAACTTAATGTATACATGGTATATAGTAGCATACCAATTTGTCAAACCCACCCATGAAGGAAAATGATAATGATGATGAGGAGAAGAAGAAACAAGTGGATGTGCAGTATGAGCAGAACAACTAGCCAGAAAAGAGAGAGAAAAGACAGAGCAGAACAATAACACTCCACACCCACAAACCTACATTCACTCACTGTGGCTGTAAAATTTTCGTTGACTCTGATATTCTCTGCTTTCGATCGTGATTCTCACGGTCCATCTCGAGCTTCTTGCCTTTTCAATCAATCAAAATTTCCCACTCAAAGGTTGGCACATGTCTCTCTCTCTCTCTCTGGATGTTCCTTATCTCTTCCCTTTATTGCACTCTATCTCCTTATTTTATTTTCACACTTTTCTAAAGTATTGCAGCTATACCCATTTCTCACTTTTAGTTTTTGGTCGTCTAATGCCTATCTTGTTAGAAATAATGAAACTTAGGTTTATTATATGCTGATTATGCTCGTGGGTTGCGTGTTTAAATTGACTATAATACTCCACAGTTCAAATTGTATTCTAATTTTCTTGTTTGGGATTGCTTTATATGGCTGGTCGTTGCTACAGTGATGTATGAGGCTATACAATACTCAGTCTTTTTGCAGTATTTGTGTTTGCATGAAGTTCCCAGATAACACCTCTGATCACAACTTTGCATTGTTAAACTTCTGTTCCCTATCTTTCTAAACCTTCTGTAACTTCTTTCTCATGCCCCTTCTTCTGTCTCAAAGAAAATGTCTAGTCTGAGTGGTTCTAAAATCCAATATCATTTTCACTTGCTACTAATGATTTGTTGCTCAGTTGTCCTAGTTGGATCTCTAAATGAAGAGGGAAGTATTCTCTTAGACTTCAAAAGATCCCTTAGAGACCCCAGTAACAATCTCAAAAGCTGGAATTCTTCTGATTTTACTCCTTGCAATTGGACCGGCATAGGCTGTACCAATGATTATAAGGTAACTTCCATACATCTCAGTCGCCTCAATTTGTCTGGAAGTTTATCTTCAGCCATTTGTAACCTCCCTTACTTAGCTGAGTTCAATATCTCAACAAACTTCATTTTTGGTCCCATTCCTATTGATTTTGCTCACTGTCCTAATTTAGAGGTTTTAGACCTTTGCACAAATAGATTGCATGGAGAGATACCTACCCAACTCGGCAGAATAACATCTCTTAGGGAGCTTTATCTGTGTGAGAATTATATTTATGGTGAAATCCCCGAGGAGATTAACAATTTGAGTTCTCTAGAAGAGCTTGTTATTTACAGTAACAATCTCACTGGGATAATTCCTTCATCAATTGGTAAAATGAAGAGGCTTAGGGTTATCAGGGCAGGTAGAAATTCTTTGTCAGGTCCAGTTCCTGCGGAGATCAGTGAATGTGAGAGCTTACAGGTACTTGGGCTGGCACAAAATAATCTAGAGGGTACTTTTCCTACAGAGCTTCAGAAACTTAAGAATCTCACTAATTTGATTCTTTGGCAAAACCGTTTGTCTGGTGAGATACCTCCTGAAATTGGGAATTTTAGTACCTTGGAGGTGCTTGCATTGCATGACAATTCCTTCAGTGGAAGCCTTCCCAAAGAGCTTGGGAATTTAACCCAGCTGAAAAGATTGTACATTTACACAAACCTGTTGAATGGCACAATTCCACGAGAACTGGGGAATTGTATGAATGCAGTTGAGATTGATCTTTCCGAAAATCGGTTAAGTGGGTTCATTCCAACAGAGTTGGGTGAAATCCCTAATCTCCACTTGCTTCATCTCTTTGAAAACCTCCTGCAGGGAAGTATTCCCAAGGAGCTTGGACAATTGAAGCAGCTGCATAAATTGGATTTGTCCATAAATAATTTGACAGGCACAATCCCTTTAGAGTTTCAGAATCTCACATTCTTGGAGGATTTCCAACTTTTTGACAATCATCTCCAGGGTACTATTCCATCATTGATTGGCATAAACAGCAACCTCTCTATTCTTGACATGTCTATGAATGATCTTGTAGGCAGCATCCCTTCACAACTTTGCAAGTTCCAGAAGTTGATTTTTCTTAGCCTTGGATCTAATAAGTTATCTGGAAACATTCCCCATGGCCTGAGAAAATGCATGTCCCTTGAGCAGCTAATGTTGGGAGATAACCTACTTACAGGAAGCCTCCCTGTTGAATTATCCAAACTTCAGAACCTTTCTGCCCTTGAACTATATCAAAACCGATTCTCGGGTCTGATTCCTCCTCAAGTAGGCCAGCTTAGAAAGGTAGAGAGGCTGCTCTTGGCAGACAATTACTTTGCTGGTCATATCCCTCCAGAGATAGGGAGACTGGAAAAGCTTGTTACATTCAATATCTCTTCCAACCGATTCTCTGGGATGATTCCATTTGAGTTGGGAAACTGTATAAAGCTCCAAAGGCTTGATCTTAGCCGGAACCAGTTCACCGGCTATCTTACAGACAAGCTTGGCAAGTTGGTGAATCTGGAATTGCTCAAGCTCTCTGATAATAGATTTACAGGACCAATACCTAGTTCTTTAGGGGGCCTGATTCGACTAACTGAATTGCAAATGGGGGGTAACTTATTTTCTAATAGTATACCTGTTGAGCTGGGTCAACTTGCTGCGCTCCAGATTGCCCTCAACCTCAGTTATAACACTCTTTCTGGCACAATTCCAGACAATCTGGGGAACTTGAATATGCTGGAATCACTCTATTTGAATGACAATCAGCTTGTCGGTGAAATTCCCAATTCAATTGCCCAGCTGATGAGCCTTGCAGTATGCAACCTTTCTAACAATCGTCTGGTGGGAACAGTGCCAAACACACCTATTTTCCGGAGGTTGGATTCCAGCAATTTTGCTGGGAACAGTGGGTTATGCACATTTGGTTCATACCGTTGTCATCCATCTTCTAGCCCATCGGCTACTCCAAAAAGAAGCTGGTTAAAGGAGGGTTCTTCCAAGGAGAAAATAGTGAGCATTGTCTCTGTTATTGTCGGGATGTTGTCATTGACTTTCATTGTGGGTGTTTGTTGGGCATTGATACGCCGAAGACCTGCTTTTGCTTCACTGGAAGATCAAGTGAAGCATGACACGTTAGAAGACTATTACTTTCCCAAGGAAGGGTTCGCATATCAGGACCTTGTGGAAGCCACTGAGAATTTCTCAGAAGGTGCAATCATAGGAAGGGGAGCCTGTGGCACTGTCTACAAGGCTGTGATGGCTGATGGTAAGCTGATTGCCGTTAAAAAGTTGAAGTCCCGAGGAGAAGGAGGCAGTTCCGACAGCAGCTTCCGTGCTGAAATATCTACTCTTGGGAATATCAGGCACGGGAATATTGTGAAGTTGTATGGCTTCTGCTACCACCAGGACTCAAATCTTCTCTTATATGAATACATGGAAAATGGAAGCCTAGGAGAAATTCTTCACGGGAACCAGAAAACATGTGTACTAGACTGGGATGCTCGATACAAAATTGCACTTGGAGCAGCTGAGGGTTTATGTTATCTCCACCATGATTGTAAGCCCCAGATCATTCATCGTGATATAAAATCAAACAACATATTGCTGGATGAAATGTTTCAGGCCCATGTCGGAGATTTTGGCTTGGCAAAGTTAATTGAGTTTCCCTGCTCAAAATCCATGTCTGCTGTTGCTGGTTCATATGGCTACATTGCACCCGGTAAGAAAACTATTTTGAGTGCCTTTTCTTTTCCCATTCATCTGTTACCAAAGGTTACTTCAGCTTAAATAATTTCTCATGCATGCTGTGACACTTTATCAACAAATAGTCTTATATGGTCCTACATTTCTTCTACTCATGTTTTTAGCATTGGAAAAATATAGTCTGGTATAAGTGGTACCATAAAGTTCTACACTAATTATCCACCAATAGCAAGCATTATGAATACTGATCTCTCTGCTACATTCTAGGCAAGATCACTAACATAAGAATTGTGTGGTTTTGTTATTCAGAATATGCTTATACGATGAAAGTGACAGAGAAGTGCGACATCTACAGTTTTGGGGTTGTTCTACTGGAACTAATTACCGGAAAATCTCCAGTTCAACCCCTCGATCAGGGAGGAGACCTGGTAACTTGGGTGAGAAGATCCATTCACAACACTCTGCCAACATCAGAAGTATATGACAGGCGGCTAGACCTGATTGAGAAAAGAACAATGGATGAAATGTCTCTGTTTCTTAAGATTGCTTTGTTTTGCACAAGTACATACCCTCATAATAGGCCAACAATGAAAGAGGTCATTGCAATGATGATTGATGCTAGGGAAGCTGTGAACAATTTACCATCTTCTCCAACATCAGAAACTCCCTTAGATGAGGATAATTCTTCCGAAGGTTAGTAGATATGCTCCCAGGGAAAGATAGATTACTGGATTGTGGAATGAGATACTCAAATTAAAGATCATGTTATTACTTACTTCTTGACTCTAGGCTAACCACTTTTATGCTAGAATTTGACATCATTAAGATGATAAAAATGAGAATGTAATATTCATTCATGTTCTTGTGGGGTTACCACCATTGTGGAACAACCATCCAACCACCACCACCTGGTTGTTCATCCGTTATCTTGGAATTGTAATTATCAGTGTCATCGCCCTTTCTTTGGGTCATCATCTTCGTCACTACCACTATGCCTGCCAGCATCATCACCTAGCTGCCTGCCACACCACACCCACTTATGATATATATGTTGTGCACATGCATGATTTTGTGCCCCTACTGCTATTCAGATAAGATGAACAGTGTGATGAGTTTTCAGTGACTCAGACCCCTAAGATGAACAGGCATGACTGTTGCTTGATAATTTTTGTCATTTATTTTTGTTTACTTAGTTAATCAGAGATAACTTTTTCCAGATAATTGACCTGCATCCATGATATTGAATTTGCAGGTTGCATCGACCCATAGGCTCCACTCAATCTGAAGAGAGGATGTTTGCAAAAGTTCATTGTTTCTGTAATAGTCTTTCGTGCCTCACATGGATTGCGCGAGGGAATAAAGATTTTCCATTCTCATCATTAACTTATTTATTGAGCCTTCCTTCTCTAAAGTAAATAAATATTATACTTCCATTAGCACACACCCCCCCCCC